TACTTCCGTGACCTTGTCACGCCTATAACTTATATCACGATATACGGTTTTAGCCAGCGGTTTCTTTCTAATACTTATAGCCGTTTTTTATAGAATGATTTAAGTTTTTACTCCCTTTGTAATAAGTTTCAATTCCATTCAAAAAGTTGATTTTGTATTTAATGTATATTTTTTTTACTTATTTATTGTTATTCTTTGGATTGTTAAAAATAGCAATAAAGTGTAATGTAATTATATTTCTAGTACAATACACAAAGTAGATTATACATAAATATAAAATATCACCTCTTCCCATAATAAAACAAATGTACAAAAATATTTTACTTTGTTAATAAATAGGTTTATAGTAACTGCTGCAGATTTTTTTCATCTGCCTTTTCTAGTAGTAATAAGCACCTATGACCCTAGTGAGTGAGCAAAGAAAGTCATCCTATCTCACTCACTCCCATTGCCGAAATGGCCCGATTTGAAGAGAACTACAACGAGTGGCGCGCTCAAATACGTATGTCGTGATGTGAGTGACGGGGATAGCTTTTGGAACGGAGGAACACCTATGTGACTTTGGAACGTCGTTCCTTCGGAACGAGTCACGGTGATACTGTTTTTCGGCGGATCATCGTTATTTTTTCATCGTGACGTTATTTATCACCCACCTCTACTTCTTATTCATTACAAGTGTAGCGCGTTCGCACATTGCATCCGATATGTATTCCGTTCCGAATCCGAGATTATACACATCTTGAAAATTCGAACCCATTTCGGATGTCGCTTGATGTCTCTAAATGTACAAGCGATATTCGTCTTTTCTTGGAATAGATTGATTTAGTGCACAAGCGCAAGATTTGTATAGTCTTGGATTTCGAATGGATACGAATCGCGCAAAAATGCGCTTAATAACAATCATTGTCTTTAAATACAACCACACCCGATTGAAAAATTTCCCTGAGTAGGTCACCAAAGTAAATTATCTATATTTGATAATTTAAATGTGTGACTTTTAAACAATCAAGAATTTGATAACAGAAAAATTATAGATATGTGTGTAGGTAGAGACTAAATGTTAATAAATCATTGTTTAGCTGATTAAGAATATAAATAAATAAAATAAAATCAATACTATATTTATTTTCTTACTTCCATTTATTTATTTAAATTGAAATGTACGGGTAAGGTGCAGTAAAAGCTTAATTACTAGAAACTAAAACTAGGATTAAGTTTTATGAATAAAATTGGGTCCCAGCAGCAAGGTGCCCAAGACGCTGGCAGCGTTCCCCCTTTGTATTGCTATGCTATAGCGTTGGGCAAGGTAGCAGCTGGCCCTTGGGTTTCCCAGACAGTCTATTAATTTTTTTGGATACAATTTTGTACAGATGAAGGGCACCCGGTCCCCGATCCGGGCCAAGGGTTTCGACTCCAAAGGCTGTACATAGGTGGTCGGACTTAGAATAATAACGCATAGAAACCTAGCCCGCATACGCTAAGTGAGGCAAGTTAGAGGGTTCCAAACGCGTCCCAGGAGCGTGCGGGCTGTTAGTGCTCAAGGTCATATTGCACCGCGAACAGCTCCAAAATTTTTTGCTAAAAATGACGAAATGTGCGGTAAATGGGTGTAAAAATACAACAGACAAACAAAATAGACACTAACATCGCATTCCACAAGTAAGTAATGCGTTTCAACTCATATTTTTATGTAAATATTCACTAAAACAGAAAAATAATTTCGCGGCAACAAGATACGAAAGTGTTGCCAAGTAACGAATTTTTTTTCTCCCCATTTTGCTATTCTGTATCAAAATAATTATATTACGTAAATTTTAGTGGTGCCTGTAATTTCGATTTATTTGCGCATTTTGAACTAATATTTACTCGAATAAACATGACATGTTTTCGTTAACTCCTGTAAGTGATTGGGACACTTAATTATTTTATAATACTTTTAACGGCTCTGCGTTCATGCTTTATTGAATAATTATTTATATTAATTTTATTTGAATTGGAGCACATATTGCAACAAATTTACAGTATATATTTGTTTCTACTATAGTGTTGGCACCACCAGTACTACTTTGATAGCTTATTATATGTCTTTCTTTTCGTAACTCAAGCGAAATATTTTTTATTAAAATATTTTATTTTCTTAAAAGGGGAGCATTCTTAAGCGATTTTTTAATCTATTTTAACAGTTATTTTCTTTAATGTTTGCTTATGGCATTTTCGGTTTTAGGTTTCGAATGTGGCACTTATATCTAAATCCAAGATGGCAAACACGACAGTTCAAATAAAAGCAATATTCGTAATGAGCACCCCCAAATACCTCGAAAACGATACCCAACTTGCCATTATTTGAAAAATCGTGCCCGCCATCTTGGATTTACAAATAGTGCCATATTCGCATTGAGCATCCCCAAATACCTCGAAAATGATACCCACATAGCATTTTTTTGAAAAAATCGTGCCCGCCATCTTGGATTTAGAAATGAGTGCCATATTCGTAATGAGCATCCCCAAATACCTCGAAAAGGATACCCATATAGCATATTTTGAAAAATCGTGTCCGCCATCTTGGATTTACAAATAAGTGCTATATTCGTTTTTCATCGACAAAACCGAGCATATCTGTAGGCACCTGATCGACAATGTCGGGCAAATCTGTAGGCACCTTTAACTTAATGATGAGTTAAGCAAGATACAATTTCCCCACTTTTGAGGGAAATGTTATTCCATGGCATCATTATTTGTATATTTAGTGTGCGTGCCGACGAGCGTAGTTACAAGTTGCTTACGCCTACATGAATTTGGTTTTTGCCTCACTTGTGACAGTTCGTTTGATATGAAACTATCATTCTATGCGTTATTATTCTAAGTGGTCGGAGTTGTGGTCCTGGTACTTATTACTCTTTATCCTTTCCGTCAACTCAGCTGCGGAGTCAGCCCTCTTGCTGGTGTGCTGGAGATGGGATGGGGTAAGTGTGTCAGCGCGCGTGGCGTCCCATACTCCAAGGGATGAGAGTCATTTTGTCCGGGCGTTTGCTGGTAGTGTTCCCCTTTGTATGGTTATGGTGTTTTGGATAAAATTATGTACAGATGAAGGGTTCTAGGACTTCACGGGCCAAGGGTTTCGATTCCAAAGGCTTTAAATAGGTGTCGGAGACGAGGTCACGCTAATACCTGCCTGCCATTAGTTTCTCTTTTTCTTCAGTACAAAATATTTCTATTTAAGTTTTCAGTGTAAGACCCTTCAGTTTGAGTTTTCAATATTTCAATAAGAGCCTTGTAAAGTCTTTAGTATTTTAACATGATTTTAACCAATCTTTTTTTTCTGTAAAGTGTTAACGCCAAGACCTTTAGGCTAATTTAACCAATCAGCTTTTGATATTTTGAAAATGGCGGGCTTTTGAAGTTACAAGGTCAATTTTTACAAAGATCAATTTTCTTTTAAGTATATTATCGAAACTTAGCTTTCCTGACCATGTTTCCTATACTTTTTGGTTTTCCTCCCGTCTGTTTCCTAACCTTTTACTTTGACGTTGGCACAAAGTGCCATTACTTAATTTAAAAAAACGTTTACTTCAGCGTCACTAGCTGTTGGAAAAAATGGCGGGCTTTTGAAATTATAAGTACAGCTTTTGCAAAGATTATTTTTATTTTAAGTATATTATTAAGAAAAAACGAAGAAAGAAATAGTGACGAAGAAAGTTAGAACGATATTCCTTATTTTAAGCCTAATTACAAAACAGTTTATCCAGAAAATTCAAGTTCAAAGATTTTGCTCAAAGTGACAATAATGTGATCAAGTGAAAGTGAAAATATGAATATTGACTCCCGCCGTTTAAAAGACTATTTAGAAAGCCCAAATAAGAGAACTATTATTTAAGAGAAAGTGGAAACATAATGTTGTATAGCTACAATGGAAAATATTTAATGAGGATCCTGATAATTAAACGAAGACATGGCTCAAAGGACTCGTATCCAAGCCAAAACTCTTAAAAAAAAGGTATTTTTATCAGCAAAAATATGACGTTCTTTTTTTGAAACTCTAGGTCGTAGGTCTAGGGTCGTATTCTAGAACTCTAATCAATGCTCAAGTCAGGATTGCACTGGAAACACAAGCACTGGAACTACGACCCTAATGGCAGGGACTTGAGTATGATTTCGAGTGCTTTAAACCATACTCAAATACTGACTTGAGCATTGAGTAGAGTTCTAGAATACGAGCCTTAGTATTATAATTAACAGGTTAAAGTACAGGGGCCTTACCATGAACTCTTATTACGATTCAGGGGGTCTACTTTCGATCTTCGTCCGACATCCGTCCGAAACAATTACTGCCAAATGAAAAGACGCGTGATGCGAATGAAGCTTCATACTGGATACTTGTCTTTTAATTTTGTCGAATATTACTTATTTGACAGTAATTGTTTCGGACGGACGTCAGACGGAGTCGAGAGTAGACCCCCAGTTTAGGACTTAAAATGAATCGTAGTGAGACAGCGCTACATGAAGTGTATATCACCATCCCGCTTTTTTGTCGTTACGAACCTATACTTAACTGTAATAAGAGTTCATGGTAAGGTAGCAGGAGTCATCATCATCATTAGCGGGAAGACGTCCACTGCTGAACATAGGCCATAAAGAGCAGGAGTAGAAAAATAAAATTACCTATCTTTATCGTTGTAATTTTGACGATTTTTTTTTGGGAAATCATATCGACATCATTATCTACAGCCTGAATTCACCCACTGCTGGATATAGGCCTGTCGAAATACATATGGAGAGTTTATTGAAAAGTACTAATAGTCAGCGACACTAAAAATAAATTAGTGTCGCTGACTAAAAATGGATTAAAAAAATAACTGAACATTAAAGAATAAATACTTTTTAGCAACATTTATTTCTATTGCGCGAAAATGGGGTTACACCGTTTTTACTCTCAGCGCCTCATAAAATGCAAATCTTACGGCCAAAGTCAGGGCCGTGAGGTAATAAAATCCGACGATCATATCTCCCGATTCGTTCCACACATGCGCGGAATTAAACAATAAGTAATAAATGTCAGTGTCGCTCTTTTGCATTTTTAAAAATGCTTGTGATATTAATTTTGTGTGAGTATTTGAATTAACTATTTGCCATTTTGTGTGCGGGATGCAGTGAAGAGGACAGTTCTGCGTGTGCGCAACATTTAAACCAAGTTTGATCCACTTAAATAAACGCGAGCCTATGTCCTATAAATAAAATGTTGTAGTGGTTCTCTGGTAATTGCTGCCGCCGTTAGTTGAAAAGGCGCAGGCGCATGTGACAAAAACTTAAAACCGAGAAAACCATGTTTAAAGAAATTAAATTGTAGAATATCTACTTTTCTCTTGCGGTAACTTCATACCTTATCTACTTAGGAAAAAAATAAACTCAGTGATAGATCGGTCTGCACCAAGCAGTAACGTGAGCATTAATGCAATGCGGATTTGGAGGGTATGGTGTTCTGGCGAAATTAAAAAAAAATTATAATATCAACTGACCAGACGGACAAGTCGTGCGCCTGATGGTAAGTTATACGCCTGTCCATAACAGTTGCAGTGTCATTCAGAGCTTTAAATCGCAAAGATCTGAGGGGCACTGCCACTGCGTCTGTCACCCTGGGATATAAGTTGACAAATCTCATTTGCCTATAATCTCACCAGCACCCTGACATTAGTGCTTGGAGGCAGAAATAGGTAAGGTGGCAGTACTTCCCTGGACGAACTCTTTCACAAGGAGCACGGGACACTACCATTTCAATTAGGTCTAGTTCTTAGATATTAATTTCTCCAGTTATGACATCACGTCACAGCCTTACAATGCGTAAGTAGATGCATTATATGCTTATGATTTACACGTTGCTAATTAACTTACGTGGTAATAACTTACGTACAATATTACAATCATATTTTAAAAGATATCGTAACTGCTGCTGATAATGTTTTTGTTTCGTCGAATATTTAATATTATCCAATCTGATATTTTTTATTGCGCCAAGTCTTAGACAAATTTAAAGAAATGCTAAAAAAGGTTATATTGTGACAACAAAGTTCATATGAATCACTGGCCTTATATACATTGAAACGAAATCAAATAAATTTTTGGTGGGAGTGACGGCGGAAAGAAGTGAGAATGGCGAGGCAAAAGAATTTATGAATGATTCAAAATTTGGAAAGCAAATGACCAGGAACCAGAGAAAAGGTTCGCCGGCAAGACCAGGGTACAGTGGAAGTTCGGTCAAGCCCTTCGCCAGTAATACGGGCGTCTCTGCTGGATTCGGACTTGGGTATGGACTCGCTGGGGTTTGATGGTTAGCTGTCAGATAAACACGTTCGTCTGCCCCGGTGGCATGTGGCCGGGGCGTTCATCCTGCGCGTAGCTATCGCGTCTTAGTAGCGATCCCTCCAGTCGCGTAGGCCTCTGGGAACTGGAGAGACGCTTCGACGTCGGGAAGCGAGCGTGCCTACAGCTCCACCACCAAAGTGGACATTTGATAGTGGACTTTAAGAGTCAATGCCTTAGCGGTGGCAACTGTTAGTTGCGCAATGCACAACGGAAAGTGAGCATGTCTACAGCTTCGGTACCTATCTGGAAAATAGGGAGGCACTAGGGAGACACCCGAGGCACTAGACTCTTGAGAACCGGATAAATGCAGTGACAACGGTCTGTGACAACTCTGTACACTGGCTGATCTGGGGTCAGAACCGGAACTTATATGGTTCCTGGGCACGCATAGGCTACAGTGCTCTTCTCGTGTAAATTAAGGGTCGGTAGGGAGGTTATTATGATCAAAATTAATGTAAATGATTATCACTAGTATCAGGTTTCTTATCACAGTATGACTTCTTTTTATTTTCCTGATATTTCGGAACGGTTGCACGCTCCATGGTCACGGGTTGACGCAATGGAACACTCATGGAGCGTGCAACCGTTCCGAAATATCGGGAAAATAAAAAGAAGTCATACCGTGGTAAGAAACCTGATACTAGTGATAATCATTTAGTGAATAACCACGAAAGCCTTAAAATCTATAAAACTAATGTAGAAAAATATAGGGCTGGTTCTTATAAATATCGTCAGGGATAGTGCAATTACGCGTAACTAGCATTGGATTATGAGTTTCAATTTCGATAGTTTAATTAATAAAATAAATAAAATATTTCAATGTGGTGGCAACCAAATAGCGTGATTTACGGGAAGCTAACGTTACCAGTCCTTAGATGACATACATTAATGCTTACTGTGCAAGAATGAAAGTCGGAGCCATTGAAATAACAAAGTAGTAACGTTAAATCTCTCTCCTGTAAAATGTGGTACAGAGTAGATACGCGCCTTTTACCAATGCTGTATACATCGATTCCCAGGCCGGGAGTAATATTTGTATGGCCTACATTGATTTCTCTCATGAGTTTGGGTGTAATTTGTGATTGTCTATGTGTGTGTCGATAGCATACATCTGTGTGTGTGTGTAGTGTGTAGTGTGTGTTATGAACGTTGAAACAGACTGCATACAGTCGACACTGCCTTCGGGCAGTTGTCGCTGCTTGCCTGTTTCAGGAGCTTAGTGTATTTGTTGATGTCGAGATAGATAAAATTTGCAGTTTAAAAAAATGTGTTTGTAGTAGTTTTAGTTATCAGAACTTATGCTGTAGAATGATCGGATATTTATAAATTTAACTACATTGCTTGTTACGTACTTATATTTCTTTTGAGTTATTGCGTCTTCGTCCATAATCCCTTTTTAGCTTTCTGTAAGACTCTTTCCAAGTTTTACTACGAAAAACAAGACATGTACTCAGTAAATGTAAATATTTTGTGGGTTATTCCATTTCAGGACACTTTGTTCGTTCATGTAAATTAGGAAACGATTGGGGATCCAGGACACTGCCCAGTGGAAAACCATTAGTCACAAGTAACTTTAGCCGTACATATTCGCCAAGTTGAACTCTTTTGTTTGGAAGCATTTGAAAGGTCATAAGTTTCCGCAAATATTCTTCTCATTTCACTTAGTAGCAGTTGAAAAGAAACCATATCGAATGTCTTAGCAAGTGCAGTGAACTACCTATTCATATGTTTTCGTCATCTATGTATTGTGTAACATCATTAGTCAGTGATGTAAGTGTACCACAAGACTTTTCCACGTTACATCATTGGAGTCAAACGCAAGCTACAAATCTACTGTAGCTTCACTACGCACTTTACAGAGCCATTTAGCAATTCGACTCTTAACTACTGAAGATATAATTTCACGATACCTAAAAACACAATCGATTCGTCCCACTGGGTTGATGATTATGACGTATTAAGCCAATAAATTGTTCTTCCGTCGTATGTAAGTTCCATCTTACTTCAATTACTTACGTCGTTCTAATTTGCAATAACTCTATTGTGAAATTTTAGATTGGTGGTTAATTAAAAAAGTAACATGTAACGTTTCGGACAGCGTTTAAACTTTAACATTTAAATTTAGATGTAGTTGGTGTACACTCCCACAGCCTGGTGTAGCAAGTGAATTGGCAGAATAGTTTTCAAACAAATTAAACGACATTTCGTCTCCATTTCTGGTTATATACTCGATGTAGTAGTCACAATCAAATTGGCCTATTTTGACAGCTAAGAAAAACAATTTCATGATTTATTCAATTTGAATTTCTAATATTTTTCGGATCGCGTATATTTGTTTTTTCTAACAACCTAACGTTTCGGGTCATTTACAGGGCTCACAGGGCGACAGACAAGTCAATTGCCGATAACATCGACGATATTGTCGAATCTAACGCTATCGACATTATCGATAGAATCGATAATGTTAGTGTATGAAAACAAACTCAGTGCCAAGTTGATTAGTTCAATAATATACTTAAGATAGTACATAAGTAGGTAATAAATGGACAAAGTTGTTCTAACTGAAAATGGAGGTGAATGTCTGTAACGAAATTGTACATAGAACAATACATTTTATATCTATGGTGTAGGTAACGTAGAAACTAGATACGATAAGGTAGTTGTTTCCACAAAAGCAGCATTTTATTATTTTAAGGAATTCCCGTTTTGTAATTAATATAACATATCTACTTGTAACACCACGTATCACGTTTTTTGTTACTGGTTTATAAATATCATTTTCTAACAAAGGAACATGAAAAAACGCTATTTTCCCTGCGAAAAATAAAAGTTGAAATTGACGTACCATTAAAGAAGCGTAAAAAATTTCGGGTACAATATATTTAAAATAAATAGTGAATTTCAACCAAAATTCTATAAATTGATGACAAAGAACCTAGAAATCTGTAGATTTGCGAGAAATAGCTGTATAGCCAGCTATGTCAATACCACGGTGAGTTCGTCCATTCGTATCAGGGGGTGGATTATGAACCTTACGATAACTGAGTTGTCGACCGATTTCTTTTCATTTTTGTTCACAACACCCGAATCGAAAGTCAAACTGTCGTATTCGAAACCGAACCGAAATGATGTCACACCCATACGATTACTCGAACTTCTCGACCGGCAACGGCTACAAATGTTATTCCGAACACACTTATCGAATGAACGAACGTCCTGTTATTTACAAAGTAAGAATGTAATATGGATATAAAAGGATTTTCATTTTCCTTATAATCTATTTCACCGACTAACTCCGTAAACGCTCTTAGATAATGTATTTAGATCCGGATAGAACGTTTAACTCGGAATGTTCTGAATAGCTCGGAAAGCGCCCTTCGATTCGAAAAGGATATCCAATTGAACGATTTGGTTAAAATATCGAAGAGTTCTGCATCGGGGTCCAGTTCCGAATCCGAGAAGTGACGGTCCAAAATGTCACGGGGATCATTTTGCCTCTAGGTGTACAAGCGATATGCGTATTTTCTCGGATTCGAATGGGACTTAGTGCACAAGCGACAACCGAATTGGGGCCGAGTTTTCTAGATTTTTATAGTCTCGTATTTGAAACGAAAACGAAGCGGATGCAGTGTGTAATTGCAAAGCACTCTTTTATCTATAGACTTGATGCCCAATTAAACAGAAATGGAATCTTTTTGGAAATTTTAATTAAAGGTGTGATTAATTGTTTCCACTTGTTTCAGATATTCAAATACATTTAACAGTAGCCGGAAGTATATATACAGCGACAACCACAAAGAAGCCATCAGATGAACAAGATTATACTCGCCAGTCGCACACGAAATATCCGTTACTTATAAATATACAGGCGTTTAGGACCTCAAGCGGAAGACAAAGGAAGATCGCACCGATGCTAAAGGTGCCACAAAATCACGATATCTTCTTAGATATAAGCGATTCTTTCGTTCAAAGGTTAAAAGAGTCACTAACACAAGGTCTGTCAGATTCTGTCAAAAACAGATACAACACGTCAAGAGAAAAAGACATTAGAGCGAAGCTGTATAAAATGACTGTAGAAGAGAAAAAGAGAGCCGAACAAAAAGTACAACTGATTAACAAACTTTTAAGTCTATATAAACACAAGTTGTCGTTGAAATTGGACTTTATAGCGCATTATTTTAACGTTAATTTCATGAAGTTGAGCCAGAGATATGATGAGACAAAGAAAAATGTTTCTAATTACAATCTTTTGCAAGTATTAAGTTTGTATACAGAGGTAAGCAATGGTGTATTGGAAAAACTGTACATAGCATAATTTATGTCAATTGTGTATAGGTTCCCAAAGATTTTGGCTCACCGTCCACTTAGGCAAGATAAAAAAATGCAACTCCTACCACCACCAAAAATAATTGCAAACACGTGTTTTTTATATTAACTTATTACAAAAAATCACAAGGAAAAAAAATTATAGTAGTGCGCCCTACGCGCGCACCCACTGGTAGAGACCACTTTAGGAAACTATGGTGTAATGTAAGAACTAGGTACACCGAAATATAAATAAGCTTCCTTACAGCAGCGTAACGTTTTTGATGTTCAGTGGTACCCACCAAGGGTTGTCACAAAAAAAGTGATTATTAGTACGCGCAACATAATCATTTCATCATCATCATCTCGGCCCGTTAACACCCACTGCCGGGTATGGGCCTCTTCTTTTGTACGCCAGCTCAATTGGTCCCGTGTTAGTCTCATCCATAGTCTTCCGATCACTCCGATGATATCGTCCGACCATCTAGCACATAGTTTCCCAAAGTGGGCACTACCTCGGACTCTTCAGTGCTCACTGTGCTCACAGTCGCCTCAATATTGGTAAATGGCTCAAGAGCGTCGGAGACGTTGTACACTCGTCTCGTCGTTGACGAAGCGCTCATGAACCATTTTGGGGTCATTGATTGCCATTAGTATTGACTAATGGCAATCAAATGATAAATGGCAGGCGAATTGTGGGTGCGGAAGAGGCGGTTCTCATCTGTGACATCAAAATAAACTGTCTACATCGACAGAAATAATCTCTTTCCCCAAGTATATAACTGCCCGAATACAATTGACGGCTTATTCCCAGTTGTCACCACTGGCTTTGTTCCCACTGACGACAAATGAGAAAAAAAATCCCATATGTTAGTTACCAGGTGGCCACAAACGGAACAAAACAATTCCATTCCAATTGCAGGTTTCATTACGATGTTTTCCTTCCGGTGAAGCTTCCTTGATAAATTTCAAGTTAAATTTCACACATAAATTCCGAGAAACTGAGAGGTGCAAGCTCGGATTCGAACCTACGACCTTCTTCTGCTTGAGAGGCAGTAGGTCAAACCATTAGGCTACCACGGCTTCACTACACACTACAGTGGTGACTTCTACTGGCGACAAATGGGAAAAAAATCCCATATGTTACCAGGTGATGACAAATAGGATAGAAAGATTTGTTGTTGCCACTGGCGACAAATGGAATTTAAGATATCCCAGCATTTGCCAGTGGTAAAAAAAACAAATGAAATAAAAATACAAATTATTGTTTGATTGTTGCCGCCATCGAAAGGGAATAAAATAAAATTCGATTAGAAAAGACAGTGCATATATCTTTTCCTTGTGATTTTTGGTGTCAAGTGGATATACGGGTGTCCGGTAATGAATGTATCATACTGAAATGGCTAATAGCACAGCTTAAGACTGTTCCAAAAAAATGCAAGAAAAAATCTATCACATGTAGTACATAAGGAATGTTTTTTTTTCTTAAAAGTTAATTATTTTTATCTTATTTTAGGTTTTTGTGCACTATGACTACAAATGAATGAATTTATTTGGTTTTTTGGTGTCATAATATTCTACGTTAACTGTGTCCTTAGATAAGCAGTAAATGGTATGACTAAGTAATGTACATTTTTTTTTTTAAAAGTTTAACTTCATTTTTCAGAGAAATAATTAATTTTTTACGCGTATAAAAAAGCCTTCTGTATAAAAAAAAAGTACGATAACCTATGTGGCCAAGTACTTTAAAATAATGTAGGTTTAATGAGGATTTCAAAATGGTATCATTTCTCATTGTATCTAATGTAAATATGAAATTATTGCTATTAATGTGCAAACGGAGTAAATTTTACTAAAAAACTATGTTTGCAAAATTGACCGTGACCGTTATTTGCCACCTGCACGATAGCCACATTCTATAAGCCATTTCAGTATGATACATTCATTACCGGACACCCTGTATAAAATATGTGTTTTTAGTTTTTTTGTGGTGGTGGGTGTTGAAATTTTTTTTATTTGCCCAAGTTGGCGGTGAGACTAAAAGTTTTTGAACCTATGATAACCCACATAATAATAATAACCCAATCAATTAACAATAATTACCCCAATACTGAGGATTAGTCCCATTTAAATTTGGACTTTTAAGAGTCGCAAATTAGGGTATAAATGAGGTTTATTAGATTTCAACCATTTTCCGTTAAGTGTTTTCTCAATCAAATTTAGCAAATAGATGTAATTCCACAAACTTTAAGGGTTGTTTTTTGTTTATAAAAATAAAGTATACGAATCATATTTTAAGCTTCTATTGTTGAAAAAAATTCCTCTAAAAATGGAATTATGAGGTTTTTAAATTTAACCGACGCCGACGAAGTTTATTAAGTTTCTAAGATTAAACGCACACACTCAACACACACACAACGCACACTAAAGCAATAATTTTAGAATTGTGCTTTTCTTTCAGATGAAATGTCCCACAAAGTTTATAGTTTTGAGATGGCTTAGTTTTTGTGTTATTTAAATGTTTATAATTTCTTTTCAGTTACATACATCTAACCAGTTTTTGTCAGAATTTCTAACATTGTTACCTTCGGCGATGAAACTGGATCCGCCCGACGTTCGAGACTTCAGGCCTCCAAGCAAAAAGGAAGGCATATCTTGGTCATATTATGATGACAGCATGAGTTTCGCCATTAATAGATGAACTATTTGTATATTTATTTTTCTCTTTTTTCATTGACCGAAACTGTAAGTTTCCAAAGTAGTTATAATTAAGAAAAAAAAAGTCTTAATACACCGGGTGCGTTCGATATGTATTAGCTCATTTCGAATTAGTTACCAAAATTAACAATTATTTTACAGTTAATTAATTATTAATTAACTAAAATTAAAATATTCTTTTAGTTTTTTGTTTTATTGCTATTTAAAGACAATTTATCTATGTCTTTCAAAGCAGATACTATATAGGTAAGTTTATTATAATAAAAGTAGTAAAACGCTACAGGTTTTCGAGCTTACATAACCTCAAATCTTTGACTAGTCGTAATTATAAACAAAAAATAAAATTTGCAAATTCAACAATCCTGCTTAGTTATTCAGCCTAAATCATCTTGTTATTATTTAAAACAACAAATACAGTGAGTTTCCTATAAAACACCAGTTGAAATTCGTCACAATAAGACAGAGAAAAATTTTTTAAATTTTGACCGAAAAATATTTTCAAAATGCGATTTATCAAGTGTGTTTTAACTCTATCTATATTATCAACGGCATTAATAGGAGATTATGTGGTATTTAAATCGACATATTCACAATCTCCGGTATTTCGTGCTGTTACTGACAGTTTGGTACACGCGAGTATAGGGTTTCTTTCCTCATTGTTGTTTTTCTCTCACGACATCAATGTCTCGTACAATGTTAGCGTTCTGAATATCATAATATGCACATTCGTGTCTTCTTTAATTGATATCGACCATGCTGTGCTGGCTAAATCCGTACATTTAAAGGTGAGTTGATATAAACCATTTAGGAATCAGTAGAGCATGATGGGAAAGTGTTGATCCTGGGAAGTAGGTACTATCATACTACCACCATACCTATTTCGGTCAGACGGTAGGAAAGGGGGCTTGTTAGAGTGCAGGGAAATCCAGAATTGTCCTGGAATTAGTTTTGTCCTGTGTTCAGTAATTAGACTACTGTCCTGGAAAAGACCAACAGATGGTCTATTACATTATTGTCAAGGCTATTGTTCTTGTTCAGGTGTTGATTATATATATACTATACCATATATATATCATATAATATATATCTATATATATTATATAGATATATATCATATAATATCATATAATATATATCTATATATATTATATAGATATATACAATACCATATAATAAAATGGCAAATAAGCTGATACAGTTACTTTTAATATTTTAAATAAAGAGTCTGTGCTTAAATGTTTAGTTTCGAGAAGAAATTCAAAGTGCCATCTATACTATTGATTGCAAACTAACAAATCAAAAAGAATATTTTGTTTGTTTAGTTTTTAAATGTAACATGTGTACTGCACCTGGAATAAATTTCATCATGTAATCTCATTTTTTTTATAACATCAAGTGACGGGACGAACAAGTCGTGCGCCTGATGGTAAGCTACACGCCTGTCCATAACAGTGGCAGTGCCACTCAGAGCTTCAAATCGCAGATCTGAGGTGTAATGCCACTGCGCCCGTCACCCTGAGACATAGGTTGATTTGAATTTCACCAGCACCCTTACACTTCTAAACCGGAACGCAGTAATGCTTACATTACTGCTTGGCGGCAGAAATAGGTAAGGTGGCAGTACATCCCTGTACGAACTCTTTCTCAAGGATCTCTACTGCTGCTAATTATTGCATGTTTTATTGAAATACAAAATTGTTGAGTCCATATTGAAAAACTTGATATTATCTGTGGTATTGATATTACTTACTCCACCAACAAAGAAGAAATGTGTCAGAGCCATGTTTGGTGTGGGTCAGCGAGAGACTTGTGTACCTTACTTTAGGAAACTGAAAATATTAACCCTACCATCAATGTATATTTACGAGGCCTGTGTTTAAGTGAAACAAAATCTAAGCAACTTTAATATAGTCAAAACTGGATGTCCTAGAAACAAACGGAATAAAATAGAAATACAGCCCAAACAACGCCCTAATTTGGAATTTTACAGCAGGATGATGTTCGTATTAGCATGCAAATTAAATTGTAGACAATTTAAAATGAGATTGCATAATTTGTTATTTACTCAATGCTATTACAATATTAATGATTTTAATTTAAGTATTGTATGTTATATTTTTGACTTCTGATTTTCTGGTTAAATTCCAATTGTTGTAGTTTGTTTATGCTATTGTTTTAATTAAAAACTTTAAGACATGCTACGTCAAAAGTGAAATAGGCATTGTGTAAAATATTCGCATGCCAAGTTTTGGTGAAATGTACGATCTAATAATAATATTATAAGACCTGCATTGTTTACTACATTTTTCGCGAATAAATATCTTGTATTCTTGTGTTCTAAAGGCTCAATAATTTATTTTCCCAATTTCAGGATATGGTAAACCTTCGTCAACGTGGTTTTCTACACTGCACGTCACTCTGGCTTCTTATAACTACAATCCTCTTGATGTACAGCTATGTATTCAAAAAAGTCAATGTATATTTACTTACTTTCATGCTTATTATTGCCTACAGTAGCCACCACATAAGAGATGCGAATCGTAGGGGTATATGGCTGTACCCGTTTGGGCATACGGCTGCTGTACATAAATACATGTATATTTTTTTAATTTGCGCGTTACCTTACCTATATGCGTTGTGTTACGATTTGTTTCTGAGTGATTTTGTAAGGCATGTAGTGGGGTTCGATTATAAAATTATTGTTTAAAACTTCTTTTCCATACTGATGGGTCACGGAGATATGGTAAAGTCAAATAAGGTCATTAGGTCAAAGTCAAAAAATCTTAATTTTGTTGGTAAGCAAATTACACTTGAAAACTCTACAGCTCATTCGTAAGGCAAGATTCTCCTGAGAAGAATGATCAAGAAACTCTAGGGGTTGCCCTTTGTTGTAGTAGTAGAGTCCTTGTGAAAGAGTTCGTCCAGGGAAGTACTGTCACCTTACCTATTTCTGCCGCCAAGCAGTAGTGTGAGCAGTACTGTGATCCGGTTTCGAAGGGTAAGGTTGTTGGTGAAATTACAGGCACATGGAACTTGTCAACATATGTCTCAGGGTGACGGGGGTAGTGGCAGTGCCCCTTAGATCTTTGTGATTTAAAGCTCTGAGTGGTATTGTTGATGTTATGGCGTACAGGCGTGTCGCTTACTAGCAGGCGCACGACTTGTTCTTCCCGTCACTTAGTTATTATAAAAATAAAAATTTGTAAATAAACTATTGTACACATTTATCATTTGCAAGAGCTAAACATCGCTTTGTTTCAAAGCGATTTACATGCAGTTTTGGTTTATTAATTACTCGCAAGAGGCGCTGTTGTCGATTGACAGCGAACGTTCTGTACTCCGAATTTATGTTTTCACAGCAATGATTGTGCAACCGTTGCAAAAACGACTGATCGCAAATGATTGGTTGTAAGCTTAGCGGTCACTTCTATGGATTTTTGTCATCCCAGTACGCAGAAGCCGTATAATAGATTTATGAAAAATAGTAATTAAATTACACCGAAACAAAAACTTTTCACTAAAGGTTATTATATAGCTTCTGCGTACTTGGATGACAAAACAATGGTAATGACCCGTTTAGGTCTTGCATTGATCTATTTTGTTTAAAATAAATATTATAAATAGATGCCTTACTTTCTCAAACTCTAATCTTATTGTGATAGTGATTATTCAGGAGATGTTAAAACTTTTTATTAATTTGAATTTTTTTATCAAGGGTGCTAATTTGGATGCATTACTTTAAGAATAGGCAAAAGCCAGTGAGTGAATATGAAGGAAATGTGATATGAAATCAGCCTGCAAAATTTGTATATGCAATCCATTTATTGCATTTCAGTAACTTTGTGTTTTAAGATAAGAGTCTTAGGGTTGTATTCCAGAACTGTACTCAATGCTCAAGGCAGGATTTGAGCAGACTTGAGTATGATTTCAAGCACTGGAAATACGACCCTAATGGCAAGGACTTGAACATGATTTCTAGTGCTTTGAATCATACTCAAATCCTGACTTGAGCATTGAGTAGAGTTCTAGAATATGACACTTAGGGTCGAATAGAGGTTGAGTAGTTCTGGAATACACACATCAAAAAAAGTTTGCGATCAATAGCATAAGCTCCTATAATTCTTTAAATTTAACTTTATCAAGAAAAAATCTATGTTGTATGCTTTCTTTAAATAGGAATACCCTGTTTGAAATTAAAATATAAAACTATTTTTTATTATTTATTTTAAAAAATTGAGCCATCAATCATAATGTAATAGTGATAGAAATTTCATAGAAAGAAAAAGACTGTTTAATTAAACTTAAACAACAATTTATTATTAAAAGGTGTGAATTCAATATAAAATAACTCCTCCCCTGACTCGAATACATGCGAAGATCCTCCTGGGCATGCTGAGGATCAAGTTATCCAGCATTTCCTGGGGTAACCTATCCCATTCTTCAATAGCGGCTTCCCTGAGCTCTGGAACTGTCTGGGGACGTGGCTCACGGTTCCATACTGCTCGTTTAAGAGCATCCCACGCGTGCTCTATTGGGTTTAAGTCGGGCGAGCCGGCAGGCCAGTCTAATCGTGTGATATCGTATTCTTGAAGAGCAGCATTGACTCGTTGAGCTCGATGTGCGGGCGCATTATCATCGACCAGTACAAATTGGTGCCCATGGTTTACTCGGAATGGTCTGACGATATCATCAATAGCAACTGCTTTGTACATGTCTGCTGTCATGAAGCCCCGATACGGGATCAAAGGCGTTCTAGCTCCAATCATAATGCCACCCCAAAAGGACACCGATTTTCCGCCTTGCTGAACTGTTCCAGTGGCAGTTCTTTGTCTTTCACGGTCGCCTGGTCTTCTCCAGACACGGACACGTCGGTTATCTGGATGAGTGCTGATTCGGGATTCGTCAACGAAGAGACAGTTTTGCCAAATGTTTTCGTCCTCACCTTCTTCATTTTGCCGAAGTCTAGCCCACTGCAATCTTCGTTGTTGACGTTGCCGGGAATTGAGCGGAGCTCGCCAAGACCTCCGTGCTCGTAATCCAGCCTGGTGCAAGCAATTGCGAACGGTCTGCGTGCTAACTTCAAGCCCAGAGGCGGCCCTGACTTCTGCTTTTATTTTAGTGGCGTTGATTGTTGGATCACGGGCTGCCAGCAATCTAATATAGCGCTTTTGGGCAGCTGTCAAAACAGTTGGGCGACCGCTGCGGGGTCGGTCAGCTAAATTCCCCATTCCGTGATACCTCTGCAACGTAGCCACGACACAGGATTGGGATATAGCAAGTCTGCGTGCTATTACTCTCGTGGTGTATCGTTCTTCCCTCAAAGTTACTATTCTAGCTCGTAAAACCTCTGATAATCCTCTTGGCATTTTTTCAATCACAACTTTCCGCGAAAAATATCTTGAATCGCTTATAATTGACTAAATCAGATTTCTGAGTGAGCGTAAGCTAGGACTGAAAGCCTTTTTATATGAAAAAACAATTGAACGGGGTCATTGTTTTATGTTCTAATTTATTTTTAAATAAAGAATCTAAAAAGAAGAAAAAATCATAATATAATCGACAGTAACAAAAAAGATTTCAGTTTTTCGAAGTGATCGCAAACTTTTTTTGATGTGTGTACGACCCTCGTATTCCAGAAGTCGTATTCTAGAACTCTACTCAATGCTCAAGTCAGGATTTGAGTATGATTCAAAGCACTAGAAATCATACTCAAGTCCTGGCCAATAGGGTCGTATTTCCAGTGCTTGAAATCATACTCAAGTCCTGAATTGAGCATTGAGTAGAGTTCTGGAACCCTGAGAAAGTAAACCCTAAAAAGACAACATTCTAACTCATTGTTCTCAAGGGAATTTGCCTTACGAATGAGCACTAGAGTTTAATCAATATGACGATTTCGAGCTCTTAGGTTTTCGCGATTGTTACACATAGGAAATGAAACTATTTTTCCGGTTTGAAATCGCGTATATTTGTTTTTTCAACAAACCAACGTTTCCTTTAAACCTTTACAGGTCCCATGGTCATGGTTGGCTGAGGTGGTGATGGTGACCACCTCAGTCAACCTTGACCATGATACGCGATTTAAATCCGGAAAAATAGTTTCATTTCCTACAATATGACGATTCCAAGTGTGATTTGCTTACCTATGAAATTAAGATTATTTGAATTTCACTAACAACAAATATCTTCCATGAATAATTTCTGTCTCTAGTTGTTTTGTGATGCGTGTTATATTTTATTAAATTGCACCTTATTGTAGCACAACTAGATCCCCATTTAAGCAAATGATTGGAAATTCGTTTTTTAATTTTCCTTACCAGACATGCACCATGGCAACACAGATCTTCTATCTTTTTTAGTCGAAATATTAGAGATGATAAATATAGGAAGTAATATAAAACTCATTAATTCATTCCTTTTTTTGTGTGTTACGCGTTTACTCTGACACTTGTGAATTGATTTTGATGATTCTTTTTTTTGTTGGAAAGAGGGTACTTCAGAAGTGGTCCCATTTAAATTTGAAGAAAATATTCCACCTCTAAGGGTGGCAAACCAGGGGATGAATGAATTTTGAGGTCGGTTTTTTTAGTACTCTGTACTGGTTGTTCATTATTAATTTAAATACAGGAATGAAATAAATTGATTGTTTTGTCTTTACAGCGCGAGATATCTATGCGAGAATAGCAATTTGTCGCGTTTTATGTCAGTCGCGCCCTACCGTGTTAGCCCTATCAGTGTTGTCGCTTAAAACACTGTGTCTACAAATAGTCTGTCTAGTTGTTGCTTAAAATGTAAGTTTATTTTAAGCAACAACACTGTATCAAATTTGACAGATAATTGGTAGTAAGAGATGTTTAAACGGCAACACTGTCAAAAGTTTGATATTCGTTGTAGAGATTTCGGTATTTCTGTTACCCATCGGTATATAGAGGCCCATATTATAGTCCTTCAGTGTGATAAACATAAGAATTAATGTATTTAATTTGAATTTATATTTGAGAACAAATGTTTACGTTAGGTAATTTATTTATTTATATTAATGATTATCGCCCATTTGACACGCGTCAAATCACTGCCGTCCACTAACTAAAACGCGGATTAGTAACAAGTTGTCAAATATCGGCTTTAAATGGCACAAGATAGAGTTCAAAATTCTCCACTTAAGAATAGCTATAGTTCTGACTTGTCGAAACTTACCGTAAAGATGCATGGCTAAAATATCATTAAATAACTTCAATATTCTAAAACTAGGTTATAGTTTTTAGATATCTCAAAAAACATATCACATAGCCGGGTATTAGTTAGGGGTCGGCAGATCAGCATGTCTCGCCTCGAAATAGAGTATTGAAAAATCGACTTAATTTCATGTGGTATATCGTTTGTTATATTAATCTATATAATTAAAATATTGTGTAAAAATCATTTACATTCGCATCGGCAAACATGCCACAGCCTCAATATAACCTTAAAGATGTTGTACATTAAACTTTGTCTTTTGGAAGACGGAGTACATTGACATTTGTAGGGTTGCCAGTTTCATAAAATTTTAAATAACTGTGTAGTTGATGTCGATAATTTTATCGATAGATTGTGAAAGAAGATCAAATTTTGCCAAAAAATTACTGAATTGTGAATGTATTTAATACATGCATTGGTCCTTCTTTGATGCTGAGGTGTAACGCTGGTCTATTGCTTAGGCGTTAAATGGGCGATAACACTTTTAAATGATTAAGA